GTGAGAAACCCTACAAGTGTGAGGAATGCAGCAGGCAGTTTAGTGAGCTAGGTCATCTAAAGACCCACATGCGGACTCACACTGGTGAGAAACCCTACGGGTGTGAAAAGTGCGACAGACAGTTTAGTCAGCTGGGTAGTCTGAAGAAACACATGAGGACTCAACACAGGGGAGAAACCCTACAGGTGTGAGGAGTGTGGCAGGCAGTTTAGTGATGTTGGGGATCTTAAGAAGCACAAGCAAACCCACAGAGGAGCAGGAGGAGTGAAGACTGTGGGATGCTGTCACAAGTTATGTTATAAGACAATTTGACCCACAATCTGAGAACCTTTCTTTTGTAAGAAATTCCAAAGACACTGCATGGAGACGAGAAAGCCTACAGGTTCGATGTGCTGATAGCAGTATAGTATAGGACTAGGAGGTTCACTAGAAGACTATCACTAGTATGATAGTAGTATCGCAAATTGTTTGGTTTAGTTAATCTCTTTTAATTCCTGCATTTAAGGGAGTAGCAGATGATTCCTTTGGGTTGTATACATGCTGGTGTGTTACGCCGAAAGGCGGTTATACCGGCTATACAGATACAGATACAGATACAGATGCTTTAACATATATCTTATATATATTGTTCATGTCTCTTATCATAGTTACTGTTTATTTTGGCATATAGTTCCTTTGTTTAGGAAGCACCCCTTCTGTTATTACCTTACCTTATTCTATTTTTCCCTTCTGTTATAGGTGATATATATTGCACAGTTTCCTTAGTCATTGTAGATTGAAGTACCAAATATCCTACTTAGAATATTAGTGTTCCAGGGATCTATATTGTTGTGTTATTTTTAGCATGTTGACTCTTTTATCTTTTCTTGATAGTTGACATATGTTAACTTTTAAAGCCGTTGCAAAATATATAGTTTCGAGAGAAGTTTACTAACATGTAGTTAATGCTAAGACCTTTGTTTTTTTTCTGTAATTAGTCTTGCTATGTTATACAGCACCTACGGTATTACGGGTTAGCCGTACTTAGTAGTTGTTTTGTTGTTACTTTTATCGCATTAATGTATCGATTAGACGATGTACATAATCAGTAACTAGCATCGGGAAGTGATTGTACACTTGAGTTGGCGTTAGGTTTGTAGGAATGTACTAGTTTCGTTTTCTTATGAAAGTTTCCTTGACAAAGTGTGTGCCCATATTTCCTGTTTACTGAATTATATATTTTTACTACTTTGAACTCAGTGTTTTGTATTTTATTTTAGAGGAAAGTCATTCGTAGATTAAAACTATCAGGGTTTGAGCCATTACCACTGATTGCCATGACGTCACAGCAAGTGGGCCTAGCAAAAAATATTGTCTCCCGTTTCTAGACCAACTCGACAAAAAACATTCCGACCCTAGCCTTTTTTCAGAGTCTTTATATCATGAAATAAATCGACAATCTAAAATGTTGATTACCTTGTCAATATATATATGCCAAGAGAAGATATATATATATATTCCGTGACTTAAAACACAGGTTGGTGACCACTACTTCCTTTTTTTTGTCACAAATTATTCCCGAGTACCAGCCTTTGCTCCAACGCCCGTGCACATTTGTTGGGTAATCAGGTACGGAGACTTGACCTCTGGCCGGGGGAGTACTTCCGGGTCACGGCATCGCGCCTTCCTGTCCGGCAAGGACGCGGCATCTTGAGCAGTTTTCCGTCTTTGGAGGAGATTTGCAGCGATTCAACAGGCGACTCGGCCCGGACTGTGTATCAACTAACTTCCAGGTAGGAAAAGATGACATGTAGTTAGTATTCAGAGGTTTGTAGAGTTGGCAAACTACGATCCAAAATATTTGTGTGGCGGTGTGCGTTTGGGCCAGTGTGCGTGTGATCTGGGCCGTGCTGTTTATAATCCAGTCAAGGAATTTCAAATACTTGTTTCAGTGCAGCTACGCAAAGAAAAGTCGTAGTGTGGATGTGGAATTGTCTGAGAAATTTCTGGATTGTCCGTTTGAATGTTTGCCTCTCAAATTAAGGAAGGAGGTTAAAAATAAAGGTTAACCTCCTCGATGGAAGTTAGCAGCTGCCGCCTGGAAGTTGAAAACGTAAACAGAGAGGGTCGAGGGTTGGTAGGGGGTTACGAGATTATGTCGTGTGTCGCATTAAAAATTAGCAAAAATATTCCTCCAATCCAGTGTGCAATTTTACAGACAGAAAAGGATATTCACTGTTATGTAGGGATTCTGGGGTTGGTGATGATGAAAGCGTAAAGTTAAGACTAAGCTAATCCTGAGTATACTGTAAACCCCTACGCGAGCCCCGCCTAATTCTCACATCTGGATTCCATTCGCCCTGACGCCAGACGGGAGGTGTGAAAACAACGGGACGGTTCATTAATGATGGGAGGCTGTGATTAACTTTAAATCTCTTAGCGTAACGCAGAAAAAGGTTTGCTATATATTAAATTGGCACGCCAGTATTATTGGCAGCTGAGTATCCATACACAACTGAAGTATGGGTGGCAAAAATATACAAAACGAACGCCTACAAACACGTCAAAAATAAGCCGAAGCATCCACATCCATTGCATGATAAATTTGAAGGCCAAGGGACAGTTCACTAACTATTGCAGTGTTACTCTCAAAGACCCTGCATAGCATCAGTAACAACGTACAGTAAAGACAGCTCACTGTTAGCCTGTCTATTATGGTGTCTCTGTGGTTTCAGTTCTGCTAGTTGTTTTTTTAATAATTATTACAAATGGTGCGCATTTGTTTATATGCCCTATACATATTACGTAGTACAAATGTATTACACAACTATATATGTTTTTAGCATGTTTGTACATTGTTTCATTTTTTTTACAGAGGTTGATCCAGCTCTCGTTGATATGGCAACAACAGGCAGCATAGAAGGTTTGGATGACGCCATGAGAGGATCAGTAGGGGGTTGTGCCTACACCGTTTCCACCTGGCAAGGAGGATCAGCAGGGGGTTCTGCCAACACCGTTTCCACCTGGCAAGGAGAAAGCTGTGAGGAGTCTGGAGAGGAAACCGGGAGGCAGGACAAAGGTGTGAAAGTGTTCAGGTGTGAGGAGTGTGCCAAGCAGTTCGGTCGTCTTAGTGATCTAAAGATACACATGCGGACTCACACAGGGGAGAAACCCTACAGGTGTGAGGAGTGCAGCAGGCAGTTTAGGAATCGTAGTGATCTGAAGAAACACATGCGGACTCACACGGGAGAAACCCTACAGGTGTGAGGAGTTCAGCAGGCAGTTCAGTCAGCTGGGTCATCTGAAGAGACACATGCGGACTCACACTGGAGAAGCCCAACAGGAATGAAGACTGTGGAATGCTATTAGTTCTACAGACTTTGTTATAAGACAATTTGACGCACAATCTGAGAACCTTTCTTGTGTAAGATGTGCCAAAGACACTACATGGAGGTGAGAAAGCCTACAGGTTCGATGTGATGACAGCATTGTAGGAAGTTCGCTAGAAGAGTAGTAAATGTATCTGTAATCGCAAATTGTTTGGTTTGGTTTATCTCTTCAATTCCTTTTGCTTTTAGTTTGGTAGATAATTACTGTTAATTGCATACATGTATAGTATATTGTTCATTTCTTTGATTTAAGTTTCCTTTATTTTGGCATATGTAATCCCTGCTTTGGAAGCATCCCTTCTGTTATAGGTGATATGTATTACACACTAAACAGTCTCCTTAGTCATTGTAGAATAAAATACCGAAGATCCAACTAGAAAATTAATCATTTCATGAATCTATGTAGTTTTGTTGTTTTAAGCATGTTTTTTTCTCTCTGTATCTTTTCTTTATAGCTGACATTTTTGTTTACTTTTAAAGCCGTTACAAAATATTTACTTTTGAGAGAAGTTAACTAACATGCAGCGTATGCTAAAGCCTTTGGTTTGTCTATAATTTGTCTTATATGTTGTACAGCACCTACGGTATTGTTCTCTCAGCTCCTTTTTGGTTGTTCGGTTGGTTATCCGTACTTAGTTGTTTTGTTGTTATTTTTATCGCATTAAATTTGATAGTATCGATTAGACGATGTACATAATCAGTAACTAACATCGAGAAGTGATTGTACACTTGTAGGAATGTACTAGTTTCGTTGTCCTGTAAAGGTTTTCTTGACGAAGTGTGTGCTCGTGTTTTTACTGAATTAAATCTATTGACTTCTTTTCAATTCAGTGTCTTGTATCTTTTCAGAGGGTATCAATATTTAGTTTGAAGGTATCAGGGTCTTGTTATGAAGATTAGGCCATGTTGATTTGATTATATGGATGATATCCACGCGCGCATGAATTTTCGGCCGTTTCCAAAAAAAAAAGTTTTCAACCATACTGTAAATTGTTTAAGACAGTTGCAAAATGAGAAAATATATACCATGATTTGCAAAAAAAATATTGGATAACAATACCAATGTTGTAGAATGCCAAAATCAAACAAAAAAGACAAAAAGGTGAAGAAATGAAGTTGAAGAGTAGATTATTCGCCAAAACATTCTTTCAAAACCATGTAGATTTCATAATGAAAGCAACTTTTTTTTTGCGAAATTACAACTTTTTTTATTAGCACGCTCGCATCAGTTTTGGGGTTCCCAGAGAACGTCATCCATATAATCAAATCAACACGGCCTTAAGTATTGTCAAAACTTTTTTGTTTTCCTTTTTTAAGGGGATACGAGAATTGATGGTACAGACTGTACCCATATGAAGATGTCAGTGTGGCCAACATGTAATTGGTGGATATGTTTAGCCTCTACCAGGCTTGAGGCGCGGCTGGAAATAGTAGAAAAAAAACAACTGTAAACTGGATGGCTAAACTTCCTCGGCGTGTTATCTCTCTATTTGGCCAATTTCTACTATTTCCAGCCGCGCCCTCAAGCCTGGTAGAGGCTAGGATATGTTCTCCATTCAAAGGTTTGAATGAAGAATATAAGGAAAATCATTATATTTTCCCAGGCTGAACATAACGAAACACACCGGCTCATGAACTTATAATTCTCTTTATTGTGTGATTACCAAGCTGCTGAGATACACTTTATCAAAAGAGTACATACAAATGGTTGGTGTCGGCACAGAAAACATTAAAAGCAGAAATTATTACAAAATATCGTCATCCGTTTGCCTCTGGCTGATGACCAGTAGAGCTAGCTAACCTCGGTTTCTGTGTCCGACTAACAGCAATAATTATTTTAACAACTCCTGGATATATCCTGGCCTGTGTCTCTTCTCACCATTGTTTATACGGCTGTGTTTCATAAAACAGACATTTCTGCATCTTTCTAAGATATTCTGTACACATTGACAAAGATTTGAAGGTAACAAAATATACTCCCGGACAATTCAAACTCGATGGAGTATCGTGCTTGAACTTTCTATGAGGTGTTTGGTACTTTGTAGTATGCCTCACCTATGTCGATGAAGGTAAGACATGGTTACATCCACTCAAGCAATTGGATGTGTTTTAAAAACGTTTCAAGCAGCATCCACTATCTTTCCTCCTTGAAACGTCTCCGACAGTTTTTTTACATATCTATCCAGTTGCTCAAGTAACTGTTTTCTTGTGTCTCAAGAAATTCTTTTGAAAAACTTAAAAATTTGCCTGCAAACTGCGTTGGTTACAGCAAAAGTTGACAGGAAAAGGGCTGAACATGACTTCAGGAAAAAACCATACAGAAACAACCTCTTTAGACGGACTAGCCTGTGTGCCATCCTCCGTAGCTTTCGCCGGCTTCCTAATGTCACCACCTAAGGTGGTGGCCAGCAACATTAGGGAGCCGGGGGAAACTATGGAGGATGGCACCCAGGCTGGTGCGTTAAGCCGAAGGTTGGTCATACTTGCTATACAGATACAGAAGCTGGTGTGTTACGCCGAAGGGCGGTTATACCGGCTATACAGATACAGAAGCTGGTGTGTTACGCCGAAGGGCGGTTATACCAGCTATACAGATACAAATACAGATGCTGCCGAAATTCCAGGTAGCATAAACTGATGGTGAGAAGAGACGATAATTTTTTTCTAACGTGGCCTCGGCCTTTCCAGGACACACTTGTGCGCAGCAACCTTCCTCCAACCTTCCGACAAACCCGTAGAACAGGAACCGTCCTTATAATGTACACAGATGGGTCCGTGTGGCGGTAGTACTGTAGTATTCTTCAAACAGCATGTCCGCAAAACGTACTGTGCCTGTGCGAAATCCAGATTTTACAGTTTTTGTCAGAATTTTGGTCAACGTTGCATCAGAATTTTGCCTGTTGCAGAGGAATCTTTTCTGACCTAACGTTTAGAAACTACAGACGGGATGTTAACTTTAAATGGGACCTCATATGAGACGTTCTGATACTATAAGGGTTTCACACAGGCACAGTATGTTCTGCACTATGCTGGGTAGTACTGTAATGTTCTCCAAGCAGGTGTCTGGTGGGCAAAGTTGTAACGTTTTTCTAGCTGGCCGTTCGTTTCACAACTATGGGGGACAGTTTGTAACAGGGACTGGGGGCTAGAAAAAGGAAACGACTTTGCCCCCCCCCCAACATCTGCTTGGAGAATCCTAGTACATGTATACCCCCCACACAACTTATCTACATCAGGGCTGGACCACTTCATTTTAAAGGGGTGTTTCTTTGCAAAACTACGCTCTCTTTTTTGCCTGCTTCCCACAGAGAGTATCGTAAACCTTTGGTCCACCCCTGATATAAGAACCCATCAATGCAAACCTCTTTACACAAAGTCAAATTCTCTCTCTCACTCAAATTACAACTGTTAGTAAGTAAAGTAGATCCGGCCCAATCTTTTCAACCGACAACATGGCCGAACCTGTTGCCATGCCGACGGTCGTTGCCATGCCAACAGTCAGTTGCCATGACAACAGTCGGTTGCCATGCCAACAGTCAGTTGCCATGCCGACGGTCTGCATGACAACTGCCGGAAATGTTTTCCTCTACACGACTACTACATAAGGCTGGCCAGCATGGCGAAACAACACACGAGCGGGGCAATCTGGGCTGGTCCTGGCCAAGCCCGAACAGGGGTGGGCAAAACGTGTTGAATCAAAAGTGGGAGGGCATAACACATTGAGAGAGATAGAAAACGAAATTGAAGCCTTAAAAACTGTTTGTAGGCATTATTTTAAGAAAATCAGTCTTACAATGATGTTAACAGTAAAAAGGAGATGTTAATTTTTGACTTTCAGTTAAGTTTCACCCCTCTTCACACTTGTCGGGTGGACCAGTCTTCCTGCCCCCCTCCCCCATACCTGCCGAGAGTACAGTGTTACCATCCCGTTACATTACAAATAACTCCAATTGGAACCTATCTACAATATACAATACTGTAGCCCTACTGCTCGAAAATACCTGCAACAGTCGCAAATGGCCGAGGGAAAAACTTGGCGGGACGTACGAACGCTTTCTGATCAAAATTTGTTTGTCATTTTCTTTCTGTCACAAAATCCACCCGACGTTGTCTTATCAACACTTGACAAGGATGCACACAAAAAAATTGTGTGCTGCTACATTGTATATTCCACCCAAGTTTTTGTCCGGCCATTTTGAAGACAACCGTTGCTCCGTTAACAGATTTACAGAGTACAATGGGTGGTGCTTAAAGCGAGCCTCTGTGATTTTTTAGGGCATTTTTCTGTACAGCAATAAGATCGCGCCGCGCTCTGTGAACGCGGCCGTAACGTCTCCGAGGCGGTCAGCTGAAGTTATGAACAGCGGCGAGGCGAGTATTTACAGTTTTACATTTACATGTGTCGGCTGGCCCTTGTACTGACTGATACCTTACGCACCAAACCACTACAGCTCCCAACACTGGTATAGGACAACATGTCAATCGACTGTGGAACCTCGCTAGCCTCTACCAGGCTTCGGGAGGCGGCTGGAAAGAGAAGAAATAGGCCAAATAGAAAGAAATAATATGCCAGGGAAGTTGGTCCGCTAGAAAAGTGAAGTTTGTTGCACCCAAGACTTTGTGGACCAACTCCCCCGGCATGTCATCTCTCTACTTGGCCAATTTCTACCCTTTCCAGCCGCCTCCCGAAGCCTGGTAGAGGCTAGAACTGGGCACTGTGTATCCAGCATAGCAAAATTCTCTGAGCCAATCAGAGCGCATGATTCAGGAAAGATGCAAGCTCATTGGTCAGACATGGTCCTATGCCAATGCTGGTTAGACGGTTGTCGGTTTAAATGCAGGGCTCCTATGTAGCTTCACAATAAACAGAGCTTTGGCCACCTTTTAAGTTTACAAAGCCACCATACATACATCTTATGAGCGGAAAACTCTTCACCATACAAAAGGTGACAAAAGGGCATTGCTTTTTTTTCTTCTTGCTTCTACAGGAAAGAAGTAGAAATATTCAGATACCAAAAATGATACAAAGTGTTTCAGACAAACAATGATATAAAGCACCCAAGCACCAGTAAGCAAGTCGGTTGTCAAGGCAACCCGCCCCACCTAGATACATGTACAGTCAGGGGCTGTTTCTGAAGTTCTACGTGCCAGTTTTGTGGTAGTCTCAAAAGAACTGTCTTTTTTTCAGACGAAATGTTTGTTGGAAGTGTATCATATCTTTTGGGAGACAACGAGCAATTTCAAAGATTTAAATTGTGAATTGGCTTATGAAATAATAGAAAAAAAACATACAGACAGTATCAAAAGGCAGCAGTGGTCTATTTATAGAATGGGATGGACCAAAATTATGTGAAAAGGGGGGATCAGAATCATGGGAAGGCATTTCTCCAAATCTTTAGGAATTGAACTCATCACCACATTTTGACACAGAACATTCAGAGCACCCCTATTTCAGGTTGCGCCACCTCCCTTCCCTAAAACTGCACAAAACTGTTTGCAATATTTACTGGCATGTCCAGACATGTACAATGTGATATCATGGATGAAGGCAACGGCCATTGTTGGGTAAACCCCCCCCCTTCGTATTCCCAACAGACACCCCCCAAAGACAGGTACGGAGGCAGTAGAAACACCTAACCTCACCAAGTAATAGTCTTCGAGGTACGGCGGAATGCAACAGTATACTTCATGTTTGCATCTTTGCTTGTACTGTACATTTGCGACGTTTTCCCCGTCACGCTTTTTTCTCGTTTTTTCAAAACAGCAGACAACGAAAACACACCATTGAAATCTTCTCTGCACCAATTTGGGCTTTGTGTAGAATCACCACTCCTGTACGAATTCAGTATCTGAAGGACGTGTTCAAAACCTATCACTGTTAACAGTTACGGTAGGAAATTTCAAAAACCGTTTTTCGTCGAAACTGTACAACTGGGTATCTTGCCTACTACCTCCGTACCTTAAACACATAGACGCCCCCCCTCCAACACAACCCCCATATCTCCACCCCCCCTCGGATTTACAGTAAGTGGTCTTCGACCTCGACCTTGTCTAGGTGCATGAGGGATGTTTTGAGGGGGTTAGATGGTCGCAGGGGGCCGGCGGCGTGCAGGGCGTCGGGGAACCTCTGGTGATACCGGTCTAACCACAGGTACTTCACTGTCACAAGCTTACCTGCAGGAGAAACACACAAAAACATGTAATTATGTATAGTTTTGAGTAATTCTTTGTAATTATTGTGATTATTGTACTGATTATACGACTTAATTATACTGGTCTAACCACAGGTACTTCACTGTCACAAGCTTACCTGGGGAAAAATGGGGGAAAAAACATAAGTTTCAGATCTTTTTTCTACAGGGCTCAAAATACTAGGTGCATGTGCACCTTAGTGCACCCAAATTCGGAGCTGTCAACTCAATTTTTTTCTGTGGGGGCAGTTGTTGTAGGTTTAAGTATGTCAAGATGTGTAGTAGTATAGCTATACAGCAAGTCCTGATGGTGGAAAGAAGATGCCGGTTTACTCTTGTTTTAAATGACTGGAGGTTGTTGTCAGTGATCAGGCCGACCACGTTGTCTGGGAGACTGTTCCAGATGTGTACTGCAGTATGTATGAAGGTTCTGCCGGTGAAGTGAGTTCTAGAGACTGGCACAGTACTAGTGAGGGCATGTTTTCCAGTGGAGAGACTGTTCCAGATGTGTACTGCAGTATGTATGAAAGTTCTGCCGGTGAAGTGAGTTCTAGAGACAGTGAGGGCATGTTTTCCAGTGGAGAGACTGTTCCAGATGTGTACTGCAGTATGTATGAAAGTTCTGCCTGTGGAGTGAGTTCTAGAGACAGTGAGGGCATGTTTTCCAGTGGAGAGACTGTTCCAGATGTGTACTGCAGTATGTATGAAAGTTCTGCCGGTGGAGCGAGTTCTAGAGACTGGCACAGTGTCAATGAAGCTTAGACATCCAGGTAATGAGATACACAATGAAAATGTTACTCAAGCAGGTGGATAGATTTTTTGAACTGTCAGATGTTTCAAGTAGCAGCCAATACCTTTTGTCAGTGAGTTTTCGTCAGTGTAAGTCACAGACAAAAAGTAGTTGATGCTAGTCTTGAAAATTCTGACAGTTTTCAAACTCTATCCAGTTGCTTGAGATACAGTTGAAGAAGGCGCCAACCTTACCATCGAACCATGATCCATGGAGGGCTCTGAATGCCTTCCCTGCTGCATCATGGGAGTTGCACTTCAGGTACACACAGCCCTGAGGTAAGAAAGCAACAACAACATCAAGGTTTAAGGTATTTTGTTCTGTAAAGCATTGACAGCATTGTAGGGACTTAGGTAAGGGTTAGTTTGTTTGTTTGTTTGTTCGATGTGACACTGACCTGCATGATACTAACGAATTGGGAAGGGCCATGGAAGACCAAGTGCTATGGAGGAGACTTTCTGGACTGGTTCTAGTGGGAGCTCAAACTAGGTAAGTAAGTAAGTTGTTGTTTGTACTAGCTAGAATGATTACATCCTGCAACATGTCATAGGTTCAGACGAAAACATTAAAAATTGTGATGCATCACCAAAAAAAATTACCTGACATAATGTGGATTTCTCGACATTGACTGCAGTTTTAGAGGGGAAGTTTACGTCTATCAGATTCTGTCAGTTAACAGTTAGAGGATAGATTCCGTATACTCACTTCTCTGGAGGACTTGTCCACAGCTATGTGCACTATGCCACTGTTATCTCCACACTTCTCCAGGATGGCATCTTGGATATGGACATGCCAGTCTTCACCTGTCTCTCTAAATACACGACACACAAAAATGAACGTTTTAAAAGCTGTCATTATCTGCATCTTTATCTGTATCGATATAGCCAGCTTTACAGGCACGCGGTGTGGCAGCAGCTAGCTATATCACACCGAACAAACTGTTACACCCAATCTTTGCATATTTAATTACAGGAGTTTCTAGTGATGATGCCCCAACTGTGCTTGGTGGCAGCGAGTTCCACTCTATGATTGTTCTTGGAAAATACAAGTTGTTTAACTCCTCAATTCTTGGTCGATAACTATAATATTTAAGGGCATGACTGTTTCTTGTTATTTTTTCTGAGCTGGTATCTGATGCTTAGAAGTTTGTACGTCCACCAGCTTATTGTACATCGTGCATAGTCTGGACATGAACTTGAAAGATATGACAACACTACCACTACTATGTTATCTACTTACATGTCAGGATCAAACATGTTCCTGATCTTCAGACAGGGAGTCGGGCTGTACGGCTTGGAATTCACAGACGAGTCCACGTCAAACGCTAGAACAGGAAAAAAACAACAATACATGTCAGTTGAAACTTGTTTTTTTGCATAACAGGTAAACCATCTTTTTTTCAGCGTAACATGCCAGTTTTGTACATGAAAGTGCAGGCTGTGTAAGACCGGACTGTAAGCATTGAACCACTCACACTGGGAAGGACCTCTACTCTTTTCAGAGAGAAAATGATGACAAGTAAGTTCGGACAACGGTATAAAAACTCACCTTCCCCCTGCCACGCTTTTACTCTTCCCGTCTGCAACAAACAAGAAACAAGAATTAGTTCTCTAGTTATACATGTACGGCTATACCTTATATGGGCAATGAAAGTTTCTGCTAGTCCTAACCCTTCCCTTATATGAGTGTCAGAGGTTTCCTTTCTAGTCAACATTTTTCTAATATGGGCAGTGACAGATTCCTCTAGTCCTAACTCTGTCCGTAAAATGGGTAAGAGTGTTTTCTTCTCTAGTCAACCTTTTCCTAATATGGGCACTGACAGTTTCCTTTACTAACCCTTCCCTTATATGGGTTGTTGGGGGTTGCTTTCTGGTCAACCTTTTCCTAATATGGGCACTGACAGTTTCCTTTACTAACCCTTCCCTTATATGGGTTGTTGGGGGTTGCTTTCTGGTCAACCTTTTCCTAATATGGGCACTGACAGTTTCCTTTACTGACCCTTCCCTTATATGGGTTGTTGGGGGTTGCTTTCTGGTCAACCTTTTCCTAATATGGGAAATGAATTTTATCTGTCATCTCAACCCTGCCCTTATATGGAATAGCAGAAGTTCTTTTTCTATCAGGCTTTTCCTAATATGGGCAGATAGCAAACTCTCACCCTATCCATGCCCTAATATGGGGAGTAAAAGCTCTCTTTCGAGTTAACCTTTTCCTAATATGGGCAATAGGAGTTCTATTATGTGACAACGATGCCTTAATATGGGCAATCTCTGCTGCCAACCTTTTCCTGACTTAGGCAATGTGAGTTCTTCCTGGCAAAAGTGATTCCCTAATATGGGAACAGTGGGTCCTCTTTATCTAAACCCCTCCCCTATCCTAATATTGGCAATGTGATAAATGTCAGTTTTCCCTTGTTTCCACGGGGCCCTTGTATGGTAGTTAAAAGTTCAACTGTGCCCTAATAATACCAAATAGTACTGAACACATTTGCCTGGCCAAAACAAAGAAGGATTAGGCGAATCATTCATCATTTTGTTCTGCCAAATTCAAATCAATACCTTTCATTTGTGCTTCATATTGTCATCAAAAAGTTTGTAAAGTATACCCTAACAACCAATGACCTCAGCTAAGCCATACTGGACAATTCAGATTTACCAAAAAGCAAAGCTCAACAGATGTAGACATGGAACAATTCTAACCACAATTTACATCATCATGTTTGTACGTATTTTAAACATGGTGTGCACGTTTAATTAAAATCACAAGTTCTTTTACTTCAGGACATAGAATACAGTTTACGAAGAGAAAAAAATTGCGAATTTCTGGTAACTATGGGAACTGTTGGCATGACGATATGGGACTACTAACCCTGGGTGCCCCGAGTAGGAACTGTGGCAGACCTGACGCTGCCTCAGGGTTTGAATGATTCTGACTGGTAAGAGACTGCAGTAACACAGGTGGAGGGGGTTAAATTTTAAACACTGCACAAAATGTACAAAATCTCACTCTGCCCCCCTCCCCACTTCTATGGTTCAACTTACTGTTCAAGTACTATATATGCATGGCAATAGGTGAAATAAAACTGTTAATATCTAACCAAGCTTTGCCTACCTGAATATTTCTTTACCATATGCTATAGTGAAAAATTTTTGTACATATTTTTCAGAAAACAAATAAGCACTTCAAATCACTTAATGTTTGCGGTAAAAAAAGCTCTCAGTCAGAGAAAAATGGATATGTTTTCGGTGGAGGCAGGTGCAGAGAAAAAGTTGCTGAATTATTTTTTCAAGGTGATGATAGGTTAAAATAAAAGTACTGCGAAAAAATTGTGATTTACAATAAGGTTCTAAAATGGCTGTCTTGAATTGTGCTACAGTCATCACTGCTGTGATTTGCCAATGGTCACCTGATCCCTGACCAACCACAGACACAGAGAGTAATTCTCACAGAAGCCGACATAAAATCTCACCAGCTCGTTGATTGGTGGATAGAGTCTGTTGTTGGGCGTGTCGACGTTGATCCATCTCCAGACAGTGAAGGGTTCCCCGGAGATCTGCTGCGACTCCACCCGGATACGAGACTCGTTCGCGGACAGAAACTTCACAGCACGGTCCCAAACCTGGCCCAGCTTCTTCCTGTGGGGAACGGGTAAGGAAAGGACTAAAGACTAGAAAGGTAATATTTGCAAAGCAAATGCATAATGTTTACCTTTGCATATGGCCTGCTCTGTTAATTCTTACTCAAGCACATTCATATGAGTCTAAATCCCTCCTGCTATAAAATTGCAACATGAGGTAACCCAACACCAGTTACCATGGTGACGGACATCTGATTCTGGTCATTCACCAAACTTGTTTGGAGAAGAAGAAGAGGAAGAAACAGAACAAAAACAATGTTTTCCTTCTGCGAGGGAGACTAGCAAAAGGAGGGACAGTACACTAACCTCTCCTGTGGAGGGATAAGCATGTGAGGGACAGTACACTAACCTCTCCTGTGGAGGGATGAGCATGTCTGAGGGACAGTACACTAACCTCTCCTGGGGAAGGATGAGCATGTCTGAGGGACAGTACACTAACCTCTCCTGGGGAAGGATGAGCATGTCTGAGGGACAGTACACTAACCTCTCCTGTGGAGGGATGAGCATGTCTGAGGGACAGTACACTAACCTCTCCTGGGGAGGGATGAGCATGTGAGGGACAGTACACTAACCTCTCCTGTGGAGGGATGAGCATGTCTCGGACATGTGGGATGGCCAGGTACGGCTGCAGGTCTGTGTTGTGCCTGCAGGCCTCCGCATGCTTCTTCAGCGCATCTGGAACAAAACAACAGAGATTGCAGGTCACAACCCTGTCAATCAACTGAAACCCAATCTCTGCCTGCTCACTTCTAAGCCTTGCTGCTGAGAATTAAATATGTAGAAAACTTACTGAAACTTAATAAAAAGTAAACAAACCCAAATTGTGTTTTTATCTTAATATGAAAGTTGATTCACTCTGAAGATCATCAATGTACATGTATACTAGACTATAAGCTTCTATTTCAGCATTTACCACAATGAACTTGAAAAACAAATTCAAATACATAATAATAACTTGTGACAAACACTGCATGCTATACAGGTATACAATGCACATTGCATGCGATTGTAAAAGGTCATACCTATCCCATACTAGCCACCCACTCCTGTATTAGCCTTATGAAAACGTACTTAGTCTAGTAGATGCCGTACTTTGTACTCTGTACATCATACTCTGTACAACTGTTGTGCAATAAGGCTATCATCAATCTGTTTGAGGATGCAGATGCAGATGCACATACCTAGGATGCGCTCGATCATGTTATACATGAGTCTGTTGTCCTCCTCCTGCCTCCTCCATCTGTACCGCATCAGCTCAACTCCTCCCCACACCAGGGCCACACCTGAGGAGGACATGGCAGGACAAACACATTAGTTCTATATGAATAATATAGTGCCAGAACTGTTTCTAGTGTGATCCACACTTCCTAAGTTCTGACAGGCAGCCCTGACAAAATCACAGATTGCATCATCTAATATTGGGGTACTGTAGGCTGGCCGGTGAAGTTGCTGAGACTCTAACCTGCAGGGGTATTGACAGTTGCTGTTCTCAAGAACCACAGGACAGAGGCAAATGGCGAGCTACCATCAAGCCCCAGCATCAGTGTGCAAGCACGTCTAACGCTCATTACAGGGAACAACAGATGTTAAACTGGATAGAGAGAGACAGAGAGATAGAAACAGAGAGCTCTATAGAGAGAGCTCGAGAGAAAGAGAGAGCAAGAGCGAGCGAGAGAGAGATAAAGAGGGAGTGACAAGGAGAGCGAGAGAGAGAGGGAGAAAGAGAGAGAGGCATAGAGTACTTACATGAGAGCACGGACAGATAATCCAGTCCATGGCACATATCTCAGGTTTACAGGGAACAATATACAATAAACCAAATAGAGAGAGAGACAGTACTTACATGCGAGCACAGCCAGTATCCTGAGGAACACGACAGAAAACGCTCGCTGCAGACGGCACAGGAGCGGCATGTCAGGCTGGGAGGACTCCAGCCAGCCCACAGCGCATCTAACCCCCCATCTAACCCCCCGTTAGACAATAAACCGGACAGAGAAACGGTACTTACATGCGAGTACAGCCAGTATCCTGAGGAACACGACAGAAAAGGCTCGCTGCAGACGGCACAGGAGCGGCATGTCAGGCTGGGAGGACTCCAGCCAGCCCACAGCTCCCACGTCTGCTGTGTCTGATCCTTCTGGGGTCAGCAGTCTGGGGGAGGAAGGACATTTATTTATGCACTTCTTAATCTTGAGTACGAATGGGTAGTCTCGTCCACTAAAACAGTGCTAAAGAATTCCCTGGAAATGTGTAGCCTGTCTTCTCAAAACTCATTCTCAGAGATGTTAATGTAGCCCTGAGACAACTGGTATTAAGATCCAAATGTGTGTTATACAAAGACAACAATATCACTGAAAGACAGTTGGCTACATGTGTATAAGCTTACTATAACTTACAATTGATTGACCAAACTTCTCTATGTACAGGTACAGGTGTAGTATATACCTAGACCGTTGTAGTACTTGTACTTTAAGTTTAACCTGTACCTAAAAGTGGTTTAGGTCCACAGCTCCTGTATCATATAAGACTTACCTGACGCCCCAGTGTGGGTTCTCTGCGATCAGTCTCAGGGCTCGCTCAAACACCAGCTTGGAACAGCGCTGGGGGGAACACAACAGAAGAACACTTATCAGTGGTCGAAATACTTTTTTCAGTGCTCTGCAATATTGCAGAAGAGTCAAAATTTTGTTCTGCAATTTGGAAATACTTTCTGCAAAAACATACTAAAACATACTAATAAAAGACACACAAAAAAACAGTTACTCAAGTAGCTGTATATAATTTTGGTGCTACCTAAAACAGTCAGACTATTACGTTTCTCATCAGTGACACTAAGAGACTGAAGGAGAACTGCAGGTTTATAAGCAAAAACTATTGATTGATATGCAAATTAGTGGAGACATTTTTGGAAGTAAAAAAAGGAAACAAAAGATAGACAAGTCAAGACAAGGATGATGCAAATTAGTGAAGAAGCTCCTGTTGTTTCAGAACATGAGCTCAAGTGTTGTCTGTCCTTGATAGGACCTGAGAGTTCTAGTTTGCTAAATTGAAAACTATTGAATCTGTGGTATATTTTTCCTTCTGCAAAATTGCAGATTGTATAAATTTTTCTTCTGCAATTTTGAAAATCTATCTGCAGATTGCAGACTGCAGACAGGTATTTCGAACACTGCTTATAAAGCTAGAACTGTACGCAACTACTTTATTGAATGACGAACTCCGCAGTGGTTCAGTTTTCAGTAAACAGAAAAGATGGAGTCATGTAGAATCAACTCTCTAACTCAAAGTCATTACTAAATGAGGTAAAAGAAGACTTACATATTTCAAAAGGAACTGCACGGCGTCACTTCTGGACATGTTACGGCTCAAGCCGAAATCCTGGTCCCCACACAAGTATTCACCTGGAGAAAAGAGATGGGGGGCATTAGACAAGAATGAAAGAACAAACTGTACTAGCCCATACATGTATTCACCTAGAGAACGCATTAGGTACTACCCTTAGCTAGAGAAAAAAACGAATTTCAAGAATTGCTTTTACATCTTTCTATTTCATATACAATCATGCATAAAATTGCAACTCATATTGAGGAGGCCAACAAAACAGATATCCTTTTGCAATCAGGCTGCTTCAACAACTTTTATCTGTTTCTAAACTTCCAAGCTCACAACTTGAACTTGTAATGTATAAGTCATATATAAATGTAGATCTAGAAACCTTGTCCAAAACACACAAGTTATGTGACAGATTCAAGTGCATGACAAAACAAAGCAGCTCGGGTCAATGGTTATTACATATAAACAGATATCCTTTTGCAATTAGGCAGCTTCAACAACTTTTCTAAACTCCCAACCTCAATCTACCTTGAACTTCTAATTTGTATTGTCCTAAATGCAGATCAACAAAGTTATGTGACTGACTCAAACGCACATGACAAAACAAAGCAGCTGGGATCAATGGTGATTACATCCAAATCTTGCCGATCTCCAAGACGAGAACTAACGGTACAGTCTTCCTGCCAACCAATCAATTATCCAACCCGCGTTTCGGCTAGTTGCTAGGCAACCAACATGACAGACAATCACGGTCGTCTAGACGGGTATTACAGCTGAAGAGATTACGGACTGAAGATGATAAGGCCTTAAGGAAAAAAATATTGTGTTTCCTGTTTCAGTACTGAAAAAATTAGGTTCGGCAGGTAGGGATTATCTTTTTTTTTCTCTTTTTTTCTTAGACATTTTTTAGTGATCCAACTTGTACAAGACAGTTTAACAAAGTAAAACTTGAGGACACTTAAAGTGATTGGGCCTAGGGAAAAAATGTTGTGTTTCCTGTTCCCTGACCGACCCTAGAAAAAACTGCCGACTCTAGCCTTTTTTTGTGTGGACCCTGCATGGGACATGAATTTTTCGAGCTGACCTTTTCTAACTCCAGGATCTGACACCTGAGTGATAAAAGTAAATCATTGTAGTATTGTTTTTCTAATATTGCCTTTGAAACTACAACATGTCCTCATGCAAGTTTTACATCTCTGTTGGATCACTATATAAAGATCCCCAAAGTCTAAAGAAAGATAATCCCTACCTACCGACCCTAACTTTTCCAGGACTGAAACAGGAAACACAACATTTATTTTCCTAGGCCTAACATATAGCCTGGCTGTGTTTTAATACATGGTTTAATCCTCTGGAATGGCTTTGCCGGAGATGTAACGCTGGTTTAAAAGATGAGACGGATGACTCGAGCTTTGTCCGCCCTCCCATCTCTAACTAAGTCTAAGACATCAGAGGAGAGTAAGCAGGGGGAAGCCCTTCTGAAGGTTACTGGAATGGCCGGTATTACCCGCTAAGATTGCAACACTGACAGTACATCTGTCACAGGGAATCAGTGCTCTTACTCTTGCCAAAAATGTGCTCAAAGTATGGCTGTAGTTCCTTGCTCATCCACTAGGTGGCTCTTCACCGACAGAGCGCGTGTCAAACTTTTCGTCACATCATACTTTTTCTTGACCAATAAAGTTGTGTATTCTACATTAATCCCCAATCAGAAAGAAGAAAAAAATATGTTCTAAGTAGGGCTGCAGTTCCTTGTTCATCCACTAGGTGGCTCTTCACCGACAGAACGGATGTCAAACTTTTCATTCCTAGTAACACTGGTCACCTCAATTTTGGAATGTCACTTTCCGAATTTTGAGACAGCTATGTTGAAACCCCTGATTTTCAACTTTGTTATTCCTGGATGTACAGTGAACTTTTGCATGCCATTGGAAAGATCATGCTATCTTCAGTACCAGGTTGCTTTTTTTATGGTCAGAATGTACAAATTTATCAAGATATTTGACTTTAAAAATTGCAAGCCTGGCGGTCTAGAACACACACCGTCATGCCCAGCAGCTTAGCCTGGCAGTCCTAAACTTTAGCCCGCGGCCTGAGTTAGCCAGCCCGCATCCAGACCGCATCCAATTAGCCTCATGAACACCCCATGAAAACCACTGAATTAATGAGAATTCACATTTTCACACCTGTGTAATTGACAAGTTTGTGATAAATTCATGAGAGGTCTGGGCTCAATGGTTAGCCCGCGGGCCTGAACAGGCCTGTCGGTCTGTGGACAGGCTGGGCTGATGATTAGGCCTTATGATAGAGAACCTTCAGACTTTAAACACCAAACAGAAAGTGGGAAACAAAAATATGCTTCCAAATTGATGCTTCCAGATTGATGATGGTTTACACTTCACTTCATATCACTTCATATTAATAAACACCCTTCACATTTTCAGCTAATATTTTCAATAAGTGATTACATATTATTGACAAGTATGATGTACAGGTATGAATGATGATAACTTTCATGAATATTCATTTTGAACATTTTCTGCAAAAGCTTCAGAAATTTCTACTGGAAGAATTTTTCCTGTACATGGGAAGAATTGTTCTGCTATTAAGACTGCAAAAAGTCTCTTTCTAGTAGAAAGCTTTTTGAACATGTTTGAGGAGGTGGATTTTGCTCCTGCTGTGCTACCTGGGCTGATACCTGGGCGGGGTGTAACATTTGTGTAACGGTTATGACTAAAAAAGATCAGATAGCATCATAAAAGACCCTTGTCTCAGCAAGAACACTTCATATTAGACCTGATTGGTTGTGGTGTTGGAAGCCAACTTTTGAGGACACTTTATGGTCACTTACAGTTTCTGTTTGGCAGGTATAGTCCAATCTGTCCTACTATGGATGGGCAACTCCCCTGGCCAAATCCCTTTGAAACATCATGGGGGTAGAAATTTATCTTTTTTTTTAAAGAATGAAGACTTGGCTATAAGTACAGGTCACAACAAAACAAGATGAATGGACATGGTTAACAGATAAACAATAACTCCATGGAAACATTTAAATCAAAAGGAAAACATTTGGAGTTTTAGTGCCATAATCCTGCCATGTATAAGCCTCAGCCAATGTACACTGAAAACATAAAAAGCAAGGAATCGATCCTCAATTTGCAACATGAACTTGCTTTCAGTGCAAGGAGTTGTACAATGCTTTAGGAAATTCATGTTACATTTTCTTTTGTAATTATTCTGTTCCTGCACCTTTGTCATGCGGGTCATACCTCAGGTCACCTATTGTTCCAGGCATGCAAATGACCACTGCCCAATTATCAAATTAGAGAGTCTGGTCGGGCTACCCTGACATGGGTGCACTGGCACTGGCTCAATAGCCCGAAAAAATATCCTATCAGAAAATCTCATGACATTGTAATGACAGTGTCAGATGGCCTGGGTTCACACGCTGAGAACCATGTCTTGGCCAAATCTTTCTATCCCACAACTAGTTTGTAGTGTCATGATTAGATTAGATTTAGATTATGAACAAAAAATTAATGATGAGAATCTTTACAGGATTTGTAATAAGTCTAAATTACAATTTAATTGGAAGTGCTTGCCCAAGGCCTAGAGTCAATTCTATATTGCTATATTCCACATTACAAATTGTAACCATTTCGAAAAAAAACACAATGTTTCTAGATAATTTCAAAGTATGATTTAAAAAAAGTAGAAAATTTTCTAATTGTTACAATATTTGTGAAACATCTCAAATAGGTATATAATGAAAAGAGCTGTTCATTCAGTTTGGATATTTCCCAAAAATTTAGGAACAGAACGTAAAATGCTTGTACAGCGCAGGATGTACATGTATGATAGCAGACCAGGTAGCCTGGGTGTAAGAAACAGGGGCGAGCTGTAGCGCCTATAACCCCCCCACTGCTACATGGGTACCAGACTGCTGCCAGGCTAGCTCCTTGGCTCCTGGAGGGCCAACATTTGCCCAAGGAAATGTCACCATAGAGTGATAATAGACATCCCTCAATAAGCCTATGAATTACATTGTAAAGACTTGTTATCCCCTAGACCACAAAGAACACAGTTTCTTTAAAAATGGGTGACAAAAGGGGAGGGGAGGTGATTATGATAAAATTAACAAGTTCTAACTTCCAAGCAACAACTTGAAGTTAGTCTCCAGTCAGAATCTGATCAATGTTAGACGTGTTTACAACTTGAGAAAGGGGATGC